TGGTCAGTGTGCTGATGGACTTTTTGACTTTGACCTTGACCGCACAGTTCAAAGGTCAGCACGCAGAGCGCTGAATGGAAACCACCACAGAAGAAGAGCAGGAGTGTTACTGCATCAGCTGCTGTGTAACTGGTGTGCAGATCGAATCAGCAGTACTGCAGCATGAGAAGTATTAGAGGAGAGTCTCACCTGTGCTCTGGGTGATGTAAACTGAGTGCAAACAGTGGACGTGCAGCAGAAAGGTGACGATCAATAATCCACAGCGACGCTGCTCCATGCTGACAGCGAGGCAGACACACTGAGACTGACTGCTGAGCAGACTGAGCCTCGGACAGACACTCCTCCACTCCGTCATTATCTCCTCCCTCTGACTGTGCAGGACGGTCCTTCCCCTCCGAGCTCTCTGAAGGTCCTGGATCTGGTTTCACACCAACAGTACGGGACATCAGCTGACCCACACAGACACAAACACACAAACTTGTTCTTCTATCCTTGTGAGGACCCCAGAAACCTGTGCGGATCAAGGACCGGACTTTGTTTGGGTCTGTGAGGCTTTTTTATATTGATGAAAGATTTTGATTGGTTGAAGAAATGCAAATGTCACAAGCGCTGCATGGTTTTTAGTTATTAACCTGATCAAAGTGCTCCCTGAAACAGTGTTTATTACTTTTTAAACAACAATATTCAGGTTTGTCTGAAGCAGTGGCTCCACCTGCTGGTGAGTAGCTGCACTTACACTCAGTAACATGAACTCCATGAAGCTCGAGTTAGTAAGTGGACTGTTACGGAAGCATAGAGCAAAATCAGAGCTGCATCACATTATAACATGAAACCTTTATCGTTCTAACACGTGGTTTCATGTTCGTACATATTATCATGTTATTACAGTAATAACATGATAATATGTACGAACATCCGTCAGAATAATGTTTGTTATTGTGAGAGCTGATGTCAGAGCTTCCTGCTGACGGAGCAGCAGCTGCTCTCAGCTCCGAGTGATCTTTGGTCTGCACAGGGGTGTCCAACATCAGGCCCGGGGGCCACAACTGGCCCATCAAAGACCCCCACCCGGCCCTCTGGACATCTTTGGAAAATGTAAATGAGGCCAAACATTTAGGAACTTTCACAGGATTTTATTATTTTACAGCTTCTCTGATATAAACCCCACCGACCGACGCTCAGCACCAGCAGGAACAGGTGAGGTGTGGAGGACCTGAGGACGTCCCCACAGAGCTTTCTCAGCTGCCGCTCCCATCCTAAAACTCCCGGCGTGTCCACCACTCGGATCAGTTTCCCAAACACTCGTCCCGTTTCCTCGCCGATTCCTGTCGTCACCGATTTGAAGGAAGTCTTTGACTCGAACGCCGCTCGTCCTAAAATAGTGTTCGCTGAAGCACTTTTACCCACTCCGGTTCTACCGAGGAGGACGATGGCGAGATCTGGATCCATGACCTGAGAACACGTTTCTGCTGTCATTGGAGTTTCTCTGTGTGTCTGTGGAAAGTCTCCTGTGACAAATACAGTGAACTGAACCATGAAGCAGATAACACACACCAATGAGTTAAACTGCAGGAATGTCTTAAAGACATAAAGAC